AAAATAGCCCTGCGGGCATTGCCGCTCATTGTTATTGATATGGAGCAAGTCTTGCATCATGCCACCCTCGCCGGATCCTTGGCCCAGATGGCCTTAATAACCGACTTGAGTTTTTTTTTTTTTTCGAAATGGCCGGGACATTTAACTGACCCAACCAGGGCCATTCGAGCTTAAGACAAAAAAAATTGATTCATTGTAATCCCGGTACTTCGTAACTACGAATGAGAACATTCTCCATGATACCGGGCCTGACTCACCACTACGTACCCTTGGGATATGGCTTTTGTTGGAGACAGGGTTTTCATATCAATTGATCCGTACGCCATTCTACGCCGATCGCTAATTGACAAGAAGATGATAAGGAAAACAAAGACGGCCGGCAGATCGCATCTCACACACACACACGGAGTGCTCCACGGAAGGAGCCTGCCTACCCATACCATTCACGTACTTCGTAAGGAGGACTTTGTAGGGAGAAGAGAATGACGGCGTGTACTTGATGGCTCCAATGCTGCTGCCATGCAACACGCCCCTCCGCATGGCACGGATACAACCTAACCGCATATCATCACCACTGCCAGCAACCTGCGATGCGGTCTAAGATCGGAGAACCTACAGAGGCAAGATTGTACGGGGCCACCCCGAACTCGGAACCTGCCATGCACCAGAAAAACGAGTGTTGATTTAGATGCAACCGGTGGCGATTACGGAGTACTCCGTAGTTGCGTTGGTATCGCGGCCTGGGCAAATCCAGGAGCCGAAATTATCATTTCCATTGCTCTGGTTCGCTTGCCATCCTGTTTTGCTCACTGGGTCGATGAAGGAATAAGATGTAGTACTAATACTTATGAACGCCAAGTATTCCTCTCGAGCTGGCTTTTGCGCCCTGCGGATCGCTTAGGACAAGGCAAAGTCAGGCCAACGTGTCTTGCTTGCAACGTACATACAATAACTACGGAGTACTCTAGCGTTGAGTGTTCCTCCACAACGCTTCATATCGAGGCCATCTGTCTTATGGCTTGCATGTCATCTGCAACTAATGCCTTTCAGCCTGACATCGCTCGTAGTCAGTGTTCAGTTGGTTCATGCAGGCCCCGCTTGTGATCTGATTCTGATGAGTCTCGTTTGGTTCGTCAGCTCATCTCTCTCCGGCGTAATAACTGACAACAGATCTGGCTGTTCCTAGTCCGGCACCAGACCACCACTGGCCCGACCATTTTTGGTAGACGGAGAAACAACCATCTTGCCAAGTCAGGACACAGAAACCTCTTAGAGCGTCCTGTGGGCCAGCTAGTGCAGTGGAGATGTATCTGCCTTTGGTCTCTTTCGGGCCCGGCTAAAGCGAAAAGCAAGCAAACACAGCCAGCGGTGCGGCGCGCAGCACGAACCAACGCTCACGATCCGGCCACGACGCCTCCGGTTGGCCTTCGCATATTGGTGTTGTTGGTGCCTGATGTTGAGTTGGTGCAACGCATTTTTGAATTTGAAGTTTCCTTTACTATGTGCTCCATGGAGTAGGGAATGCCCAACTTCCCAAGATGCTCCGTCCCCGTGGCACATTGGCGCCACACACCGCACCTATTACGACGTTGGCGACGGATAGCAAACCGACCACTCAAATTCTGCATTCCGATGCATTGGCTGTGATTTGTGGAGGGGGGATCGCTCACGGCTATGGATGAACAGCTCGTCAGTGCCTAAAGGGCCGTTCCGTATTCCCCGGTGGCAAAAATGGGGCGAACGCCGAGTTTCAGCACGACGGTGAACTCCTGGGCAAAAGCAGCGGTCAGCAAGGACAGGACAGCGGGACGGATAACGGGTCCTCGACTCGATATGGATCCCTAAGCACGGGGAGCTGAGCAACCCAACCGCATTGAGAGACATCCACGTGAATTGCTGTACCTCAAAATTGGCCATGTTTTGGTCAATTCCCGCCTTACTTGGCCATTTCAGACAACAAATCAGGCAAGACGCTGGTGCTCACTGTCGCCTCATCTTGACACATGGTAGCAACCAGACTGGACAACGGCTGCCCTGTGAATTCGGAACCAGGTGGGCGAGCAATGCCACGCGACTGGGACGTAGGAGTCGAATTGATCTCTCTTGCTGGCAAAGTGGCATCTCTGTCAACAAATCCTGGCTGGCCGATCCTCGACCATGAAATTACTAGCAAGTAATAGGATGTCGCTCGGGAACGCTTTACGAATCGATGTCTAGCGCAGGCATCAATCAAGTCACATAACTACCTAGGTACTCAAAGAACACCCAATTTTTGTGGCCGCCTTTAGTTACATTGAGTTCAGTCACAAATTGTCGAGGGCAGCCTACACAGCATATTCAGATTCGATTGTGCGTGAAGAAAGAGTATCGCGCGGTAGCACAGCTCTACCAATCCATACTACGCGCCCGCTTCTCTGGCCTATTTGTAGGCCGAAAAAGCTGTCATCATCATTGTTGGAACAACAGAGAAGGGCAACTTTTGTCGTGGAACCGGCTAACTCTCAATTTGAGTCGAGCAACCACCCAGGACAAATTACCCCACCACCACAACCACCACCAAGCCGCCCACATCCTCATCTCCATGCCGCCGCCCAACTTGGCTCCTAGGACTACGACTTGCGCCTCACTGTGCACCGTCCTCTGAATGTTGTCACGGACTGCACACAATTGCGGCAGCCATAAAATACATTTCCCAGAAGGCGAAAGAATGCAGCACTGGACAGTAGCCGCGCCCTGGCTTGACCTCCACTGCTCCCTAGCGGAGGGGCCGTTTTTTGAGAATGGAACCAACTCTTTACGATTTGTTGACATCAAGAAGAAGCGTGTACACACAGTGTCCCTCAGCAAGGGCGTGTCCTCATTACACACCATCCAACTTGATATTTGCCCGACGGTAACTGCCGATATTGAGGGAATCGACCCGAGAGAACGCATCCTCCTTGGCGTCAAATATGGCTTGGCAGTTCTTGATCGGGAGACCGGAGCATACGAAATACTAGCACAGTTCAACGACCCGAACAACGAACGCTTACGAAGCAACGACGGAGCAGCCGATCCCCACGGATTATTTTGGGTTGGCAGCATGACGGACTTTGGGCAGGGAGAGTTCCAGCCAGAAGGTGAGCTCGTTCACTGCCGCCCCGGTGGCTGCCAAAACCAGAACTGGCAGCTCTGATATACCCTAACCACGGCATCTTCTCACGCAGGTTCTCTATTCCGGTTTAGCAAAGACGGGAAAGAGGAAGTGGTCAAGGGTCTGACGATCCCCAACTCAATAGGCTGGTCTCCCGACAACAAGACCATGTACTACACTCATTCCAAGGCCCGTCAAATTTTTGCCCTCGACTACGACACCGTTTCGGGTGCAGTTTCCAACCACCGACTATTCTACAAGCACCCCACATCTGGAGAGCCGGATGGGTTTCGCATCGATGTGGATGGGAACTTGTGGACCGCTGTGTACGGCGAGAGCAAAGTCCTCAAGATCAATCCTGAGGGCAAAGTAGTAGGGCAGGTTACTCTGCCGACACGCAACATTACCTGTGTGCAGTTTGTCGGCACCGAACTGATTATTACATCCGCAGCAGATGAAGACGGTGAAGACAAGACCAGCCGCGACTATGGCGGTGCATTATTTCGAGTGGACGTGGGAACAACCGGGCTGGAGCTGTTCAAGTTCAAGATGTGAAGAAGAAGAAAAGACAGGAAAGCAAAGCAAGGAAGAGGGAGAGAGACAGAGAGAGAGAGAAAGAGATACAGAATCAAAAGGGCTGGGGTCCCTAGCGACCTTCAGGGCTAAAATAAGGCAAAATGGACATTTCACATGGCATGAATCACAGACACGGGGGGTTTATCAAGTGATGAATAGAGAGAAATGCATGATGAAAGGGCCACAATTCCTCGCATGCTCTGCCGAACTAGACTGGGGTGTGTTGCATAGCCGCTGTTGGACTTGACGGCCCCAAATTTCCTTCCATCTGATGTCCCGACATGGCCTGTCTCGTATCTAGCCCATCACACTGGTACACGCATACACACATACATACTCCGTACATAGACACGCATCCAGGCACGTTTCAATCAATATCCCAACGCCAATCCACGCTGCACCTCAGCCCAACCACGGCTCAAGGGCAAACGAGACTGGACTGCCATGCCGCCCCGCCCCAGTTGTGCCATGGCAAAAATCCCTGTCTCCCAAAGACGCACAGGCACGAACCCAACCACCCCCGGCCCTATTTCCCCGGCCATGTCCTGCCCATCCATCCACGATGCAGACGAGACACGGCCATGAACGGTTCGTGAGTGATCGGTGTAGGATGTCGGTGTACAGTGGAGCCTTCTTGGGGGGGGAAGGGTTCTTCACCGCTGGAACACAAGAACGCGCACCGCATGGCCTTTATTGTTGACATGCCGAGAGGCTTGTGGACGCTTGAAACTTGCGCGTTGCATGCGGTGTATCGACATATTCTTTCTTTGATTATACGGTGTAAGGGTTAGGATGGGAAGCCCTGCCAATATTGTAAGGCTGGGGAATGTGACAAGTCATATGTCCATCCCGTTGCGGGTGACGAGACATGATCAACAGGGTGAGAGAGAGAGAAAGCACGTCGTTTTCCCAATGTCACCGTGACCAAAGTACGAGCCGGCGTTTATACCGCTTGCCACAGTTTATTTTTAATGACCTCGCAGGTGAGTGACCAAGTCGGCTGTCGAGATGCCTCTGGAGCGGTACTTCTCGAGGTGCGAGCTCTTGGTCCGAGGGCATGTTGACGATCATGTTGTAGCGGATGTTCTGGGCAAAGAGAGTTAGTTTGGTCTAACGTTTGCATTGGGCTGTGCAACAACAAAAAAGGAAACGTCTTTTTTAACCCTTTTCAAAGCCTTTTTGACGAGGGTTCCTGGACTCGTCCGGCTCTTCGGACATGCTCTCGTTCAAGCATGGGAAGATGAGGGGAGCGGACTGGGGCAGTTCAGCTTCGCAAGTGTGGCCGCTTGCGTCACGGAAACTGTGCTTGCAGACTCGTGCTGCTGCTCGCTTTGGACGCAATCGCCGCCGACACATTTGCTGCGCCAGCCAGACGGCGGCTGTTGTTGTTGTCGTCTCGGTCATCTTGTTCGGGGCTGTAGGTCATGATGGTGCAGTAGAGGCCACGAGGCGTGAAGACGTGCGCCTTGTCTAGGAACGAGTTCGTCCTGGCTCTGTTCTGGACGTCTTTGGCAGCCATGACGGAGACCTGGATTGCGATGCCGACGATCATGGACAAGTGAGGGACGAGACTGAGTCCTATTGACGCGAGGTTGATTGCGTCCAACCACGGGGATGCCTGGGTGGACTTGTCAAAGGTGGTTATAAAGTCGAGAAACATGTCTTGCGGGATTCCGCATGGGCCTAGGCAAGGGGAATTTGCTCTGATGAAGCCACGGGATCGGGTCTTGGGTCTCCTTTGGGGAAGAATGACGGGTTGAGGGAGCTTGGCTTTGGTGAATGCTGTGCTGTTTTCCGGGGCGGGATATCTTTCAAGGAACTCTTGTATGCTTTGGAGGGATTGGGACGACGTCGCTGCCCCGGTGCTTCCGGTGAGGGTTGTTGCGCGTTCCGCGTAAGGGGGTGGACTCGTTTCATTTCGGGCATCGTCCAACTTTCATAGACTTTCATCCTTGACGTCGTCGCTGTGTTCGTGATGGGAAGGAGAGAGAGGTATTGCTACTTCGTCTGAGGATCCAGGAGATGGAGGCATATATGAGGGAGGCGCCGCTTCTACAAAAGGACCGGCATTAAGCAGCCTCTTTTGCTGCTTGCAAGAGGTTATACCTTCTGAAGCTAAGCCGATGCCACTCGCAATACTCTTGATAAGATGTCGCTTGACCGGCTCAAGGGGCCTGGGGCCTTGGCTGGCTTCAGATGTTGACGTGGAATGAATGATTCGTCAAGCCAACGATTAGTGAGTGTTTGGTAAGTGGAAAATGGAAAGTGGAAAGTTGATGCGAGTGATTTGGATTGAGACAGAGGTTGTATTATACACTGGGGAGAGAAACTTGATTCCTGGACATTATCTACACAAACACACACACACACACTCTCTCTCTCTCTCTCTCTCTCTCTCTCTCTATATATATATATATATGCATCTCCGTCAACACCACTTCCAACCATGTCCAACTTTGACACATGGTCTCCCATATGAACGATCACGAGAACGAGCACGACCGACCGAGCGACATTCATACAGCGTACAGCCCAATAGCCCAGATGCGGCTATTACCACGAAATATATCCCACATGCGACTCGTTCCCGTTGCGCGAAATGCCATAAACGATAACGAGCAAAATGACGCCCATTGTGGCAGTTTGCGGGTCCTAAAGTGGGGGCGCTCTCCATTCCATTCATTCCATTCCTGTCAGCGCTCCACACGATTGCACCTTCCCGTCACACCAACTCCGGCTCAGCCCTGCGGGGCCGGGCCAAGCAAACACTTGAAGAAACGACCTTTGAAGCAACGGCCCCCTCGTTCTCGGCATCACCACCGCGAGATGGTGTTTGAAGCAATTCTTAAATCTTGATTCGGTATTTGCCGTCCGTTTGACTCCTTTCCGAGTTTACCTCGTCATTTCCCATGTCACTGGAGGGTTTGCACCGACCCCCCGGTGTTTCATAAACCTCCCCCGCCCGCTTTTACACCTTCGTTCTCGTTCAAAACCATTCAGCTCGAATAGCTTGTTTCTTTTTTTTTTTTCAAACACACTTTTCCTTTTAGAGGAGAAATAACAACACAGCCCTCAAGTCACTGCAATCGGTAGCGTACGCAAGCCAAGATGGGTGGCGGATCCGAGTGTGCGAATGGCCTCGAGTTCATGCAGCCGGGGCAGAAGCGGCCAGCCAAGCTATTTCACAAAAAGTCGAGAACAGGCTGCCAACGATGTAGAGCGCGTCGCGTCAAGGTGAGCCTTTTGAAAATCCTATGAAAAAAAAAAATAATAAACATGTCAACCAACCAGGCAGAACCCCGTCCCTAGTGCGACGAAGCAAAACCAATATGCTCAAACTGCACCCGCCTCCAACTGACCTGCCTCTACGACCGCGTCAAACCAGCCTCCCAGCCTCCTCCACCTCCTCTCCCATCATCATCGTCCTCCTCGTCCACTGCAGCCAAGGAGGCCCCTGGCCCGGAGAGCATCGCGGACCCTCCCGAATCCGAGGCCCGGCGCAAGCGCGAACTCTCCCTCTTCCACCAGTACTTCTCGGAAACAGGCCCGTCCATCGCCGTCGACGAGGCCTCGCTCCCGTTCTGGGTCGACAGAGTCCCCCAGCTGGCCTTTCGGTGCAACGCGCTGCTGTACTCGCTGTTCGTCATGGCGGCGCTGCACCGGGCCAAGGTCTCCAACTACGCCGACACCGAGTCCCTCAACCACAGCAGCACGTACCTCAGCATGGCGGTGCGCGAGCTCGGCCGCGAGATCGAGCGCCTGTCGGCCTGCAACGTCGACGCCGTGTGCCTCGCGTCCAGCGTCCTCCGCATCTACACCTTTGTCCGCCTCCAGGAGCGCGCGCTGGAGCCCTACGCGCCGCCCACGTCCTGGCTGCGCATGACGGGCTCCAGCGGCGCCGTCTTCCGCCAGTCGGCCGCCATCACGGCCATGGACCGCGGCTCCGTCGGCATGCAGATGGTCGACCTGGTGGCGGACCTGCTCGACGAGGAGGAGGCGCGCGCGCACACGGCGCCGCTCGCCCACCTCTCGCGCCGCCAGCACGCCCACGAGCTCGAGGAGCCCTGGGGCGCCGCCGTCCAGGACGCCTACCTCTCCGCCATCAGCTGCATAGGCGCCGTCTGGAGGGCCATGCGGGACCGCCGGCCCCCCGGCAGCGTCGCCCGCCGCCTCGTCGTCTTCCCGCTCCTCGTCGACGCCCGCTTCGTCGACTTGGTGGACGAGGGGAGGCCGCGCGCCCTGGTCGTCATGGCGCACTACTTTGCGCTCCTGGCCATGCTGCGAGGCTTCTGGTGGGTGGGCGACGCGGGTCCGAGGGAGGTGAGGGCCATTGCGAGGCACTTGCCCGCCGAGTGGCAGGGCGGCCTGGAGTGGCCGTTGGCTATTCTAAATGATCAGATCCTCTTTACCCCTGATATCGAGGTGAATAAGCTATCAGAGTACGCGGCCAGGCTAAGACTGCAGATTTGAAAGTAAAGTCGCCGGCTGTTTGTCGAGTCCACGTTTTCGTGCCAAGATTGGGTTTTGAGCCATCGTGATTCTGATGAAAGAGACGAGATTCCAAGTCAAAGTACTATGCGCGGATCCAGACTTAAAACGTGATGTACTGCACGGGTAGAGGCCATATATATAAAGAGGTACTCGTTGGGTGCCACTGGTAGCAGACATATGCACCTCCTCGTTCTCGTCCTCGTTCTCGTCCTCGTCCTCGTTCTCGTCCTCGTTCTCGTTCTGCTCAGTCGGTCACTACTACCGTGAACAGGTCCACTCACATCTCGGAAACCTAGATCAATTGATACTCGTTGATGATTCTACAGGCTATGCGGCATAGATAGCTCCCGTGGTGTGGCCCTGAGCATGCTTCGCTACCGTCATGGCTTGGATTTGATCTCAGCCTGAATGAATACAACTAATCAAGTACCAAACTATCTGATTGCAACACCCCATTTCCCCTTGCCTTTGCGGTCCTACTCTTCGTCACTTTCCTTTGTATTCTCGCCCATTGAGATCTGTGCTGATTACTAAATCATCCTTGTGTCTCATGTGAACAACTATCGTCAACCCTTCAATTCCCAATTCGTCTGCTGCAGTTGCCTCAGGACGAGTCGGCACATTCTCTGTCGACTTGTTGCTTGGCTCGTATGGTTCCATCATGGCTTCGCTACTCGCGATTTCGTTTCGCAGATCCCTATCCCTGCCCCCCTAATTGCAGGAATGAGACGACTTCGGAGACTTTCGACAAATGTTTCCAGTCCCTTGCTCTTCTTTAACTAGTACTGGGCCTCTTTTCAATGGCAAAGGCACTTCATCCGCATCCCGCTCAACCCGTCTTTCAATATCTTCTTGTACTCTCTTCCACGCTAGCGAATGCTCAATGGCCCGAACACTCAACCTCAGCTCTGTAAATGGGTCTTCAACATTAGAATTGCTCTTGTGCGTGTGGCCTGAATGGATGTCCCTGTGGCTGCACCTTCCAGACGTTCCACCCTTGGCTGTAGATGGCTTGGGTTCGGTTGGATTGCAAGACTCACAGAGCGTACTTCTGTGGGAAGCCCTCGGAGTGCCCCTCCTAGGTTTGGTCAGACTGCTTCGCCATTCTGATACTGGCGTTCCCGCTGGTATAGTTTTAGAGGGAGATACGTGTGCTGGTTCATCAGTCTTTCTTAAATTCCTTCTCCATTCGGATGGTGTAGAGCAAGTACTCCGTGGGTGGATAAAACCCAGAGTACTCGAGACTTTTCGAAGGGAGGGTCGAGACCATGGTACTGGATTCGGAATCGACAATGGCTTTTCTCGTGGCGACTGCCCGACTTTCTTCAGAATGGGCCAAGCATCGGGTCCTGTGCTTGGAGTTTGTGGCCTGGGACACAACTGTGTATTTTGCCTGTGGCGCTTGTAGCTAGTCGTGCTTGGCAAGTCCGTCTCAGCGCGGTTTGTGCCAGATTGATCATCTGACATAGTATCTGGGCCACCCGAATTTGTCCCATGGGAATGTAGAGGATCGGCACCGAAAATGCAGCTGTTTCCATTAGGCTCCTCGCCGCCAGTCGACCGTCTAGGTGTTTGCGGACTACTACCAATATCCTCATCATTTGAAATTTGCTTGTTGGACGATAGCTCTAGACAAGAGCGAGGTTCGCAATGTTTGGTCTCTTTTGTCACCGAAAGCGAGTCGTTGGAGCTCACTTTACCAGAGCTTGGGATCGTAAAGATCGAATGGTTACTATAACCCCTTGCGTGTGCTTCCTCTGGTCGGAGGCGGCTTGTGACGACATCTTGCTCAATATCATGAGAATTGAACACCATACCAAAGTCATGTTTGGAATCTTCACTCAAATTATGCAAACGTGAGTGACGCAGCTGCTTCGTCGGAGTTTCCATGCTGGGCTGGTCTCTGGCGACAATGCTCCTAGGACTTGTTGAGATATCACTGCCACAACCCAGTTCGTCTATGGCAGTGGAAAGGTGCTCCTTGAGATATTGGGCCTTGTGAAGGTCTTCCGCATGGCGATAAAGCTCCTCGAATCTTCTTTGTAAGTTGACACTCAGGACGCCTTCTTGTTGGTTCTTTTGAACTTTTGTCGCATTCATTGGGGCCGAACAACAAAGACTATGCGTCTCAGTTTCAGGACCACGGCTGTTTTCTCCATCCCGCTGTCTTGGGCTAGATTTCTCAACAGATTCACTAGGGGATCTATTTCTGAATCGGCGCGGCACACAATCCGAGAGCCGCCTCGGCCGTCTAGCTCGAGCACTTGATTTCGTAATCTGGGGGGCGGATGAAGGCGTTTTGGACAAACGATCAGCCAAATAAAATGGATTAGTTGTGACAGGTCCCCGCTTTGGTGTTTCCTTTGGTCTTTCAGGAGTGACTTCAAGAGTAAAGGTCGATGCTCCATCGATTTCTGGGCCGTCGGGGTGCTCATTATGGAGTTGGATAGATGTGGACTTTTGTAATTCTCCCGCAATACTTGATCTCCTGCAAGCCCTTTCAGAGGCACACTTGTAGCAAAAGTCATGCCCACACTTTGAACACTGCTGCTCAAACGAAGGGACCTCTCCACAGGAATGACACAACTGCAATGTCTTGTCATGGGAAGCTTTGGGCTCCCTTTTCCGACTCAGAGATAATCCCTCTGGCCGCGGGACCCCATACGTGTCGAAAAGAGCCAAAGCATCTTGGACTTGCCCAACTGCATCCGGGTGAGACTTGTTGTCTAATGCACCATCCATGTTGGAAGAAGCAAATGCCCTAAACATATGTTAACATGTACTACATCATCATCGACTATTTCCAGCATCTAACAGTAAGCCATCTGAGCAACTCTGACTGTGCAATGGCAGGCTTTCATCGGAGGACGAGCCACGGGCCGTCCTGTGTACCACATTATAGCTTTGTCTTGCCAGGGTGCGTCCAATGAATGTGTGCTCGAGAGAAACCGGTGGAGTATCATGGCTGATAATATTTCGAGAAGCCGGGGTAGCAAAACGCGTGTCTGCTCGACGGCCCTATCCGAGCTTTCCATCGTCTTGCGCTTCGTCCATACTAGATTTGCGTGTGCCGCGGCTGGCTGACAGTTCACGATATATACGAGTGGCTGTATACGAATACCCACGAAGCTAAGAGGCGCAGAGTGACACGCGGTGGCGTTATGTCTGTGAGAAAATAATGAGTTTGTATCGAATATGTTGGTGCTACTTGTTAAGCAATGTGCCATTAACGTTTGGAAGGCAAAATAAGATACAAAATTGAAGCGGATACGGCGACAGCGTGATGTGCTCGACATGCCTTACCAAGGGACTTTCGATAAACACGAAGAGCGCGCGGCAGAAGTGATATGCATTTCCGAGGCAGAATCGGAAGGACCAGGTCTATGTGTCTACCCAGCAACAATCGAGACCGCGTTCAGGTGGAAGGAGCAAATCGACCAGTGAACGAAAATCAACACGCAAACATGGCAGGCAGGATCATTTTGCACAGAAGGAATATGATTTATGGATAGCCGCACAACAACTGGTATCAATTGTCTCGGTCCGGTGCTAATAATTGTAGAAAAATGGTGATGTACATGAGTTCAGACAAGGAACGCCGTCTATTTCACATGGGCAGCAAGAGTCTCAAGAACCTGCCGCGAGTTAGTATGCAACTCAAATCCCAACGCCAGCAATGTTTTGGTAACAACGCACCTCCAGCTCAATCTTAGCCTCAGCAATATCTTGCTCACTTCCGCTGCCGCCGGCAACCTTCTGGGCCTCAGCAATACCAGCTCGGATGGCCTCGGCGCTGAAGTCCTCCAAGGGGTAACCCTCGATAGAGTTGATGCTCATGGTAGAGTCGGGCTGAACGGTAGCGAACCCACCAGCGACTACGTTCGTTATTAGTCCATGTCCTGACACCACCAACCTGCTGGGCCACGACCGGTGTGTATAACTATCGATAAAGGACGGGGCGCCACGTACGGAAGAACTGCTTAGAACCAGCACTCTCCTCAACCACCTCAACAATACCAGGCTTGAGCTGCTCAATGGAAGGAACGTGGTTGGCCAATACACCCATTTCACCAGACTCGGCAGGGATGTTGACCTGAACAACGTCCTGGGATCGGTAGATGGACTATAAGAAGAGTTGCGTTAATTAGCCGTCTTTCCCTTTTTTTGGGTCGCGCGGGCGAGGATGCCAAGGGAATGCGCTCAGGACCCAATTGCGCATCGATAATATTCGCAATCGTTTTTCCTTCATCGAGGACTTCATACCTGATGAGGCAGAGACAGAGACAGCTTGATCTGGAGAAAGAGGTTAGTTATGCCTCATGGGGTTCGCGATATTCCGATGCTTTGAGGGTTCGGTTTCTACCTTGTCGGGAACGGCCTCAGCGTAGGTTCTCCGTTGGGCGACAGCCCGAAAGGCTGCAGGGCGAGCTCGAACAGCCGCACGGGCGAGGCGGAGGGAGTTCATGATGAATTGGAGGGGGTGATTGAGATGTTAATTGACTGTGAGCTCAAATGAGGTCGATTCTTTACCGGGACGCCAGGCTGTTCGGCTAGCGGGAAAATCCGACCGACGCCGTCACGTGTGTGCGCACGTGGTTTCTTTGGTTTCATTCCGAGGTGAGAAGGGGCAATCTTGAGTGTTGTCTTACGGCAAGCAACAGCGGGACGACAAGTGTCAAAGGCACATCTACTTGAAGACTAGATGGATGGAACTATCAGTCCGTTTTGCGTTGTGGTATTTCGAATCAGCATTGCAGCCTGTTGGAAAGCACGTGGTATGTCTGGCGAGCAGTACCTGAATTCTAGCTTACCCTACACTGAACCATCTCATCTCGAGATCATTCCGTCATTCCGTTCACCCGTTCGACTCTGGATTTGCCTGCCAATCTGGCACTTCGGCATTCCTTTTCTGACGTTCTTGGCGCATTCGCGTTCGCCGCACCTCAACCCCCGAGTTGCTTACATAGCCGCTTGGCCATCCATCTACTGATCATATGACGGACCTTTGAATGTAAGGTATCTGGAAAATCGTTCTTTGAGGGGCACGTAGATCCCGTTTCGCCACTTAGGTACCGACGCGTTTGGGGATGTCGACCTTTACAACCATGCCAAGAACATTCCCTAGGGACGGCGACCAATTCCATGCGACTGGCGGGATGATGTGGGTTAACGTTTCTGTCCTTCTGTAACAGCCGAGCTTGCCACGTATCAAGAGATGCTCCAAGAAGAGACTAGCTCTATCCTATTGCCCGTGGCTAACTGGGAGATGACATCCCCGTACCTCTATGCCCAAAGCGCGTTCCAATTTGACTCCGTACTAACAAACAGGAAATAACTTGATTGTTTCTTAAGTGTCCTTCAGAGACAGGATGTAGTTCACTCAAAGACCGGAGTCCCCGGACACAGTAGAACTAGTAAAAGCCGTACCTCATCACTGACGGAAACTACTACGAAGCTCTGAATCGTGATACTATGCTGCCAGGGATTGCCTGTGTTGGCATACAGGCCAAATTTACAGCGATAAATGATGAGAATAAGAGGATAGAACAGCGTCGCATCGTGCTCTCGCTCGGCGAGGGCGTCTGCGTGTGGTATCTACCGTAATTGCATTCTGATCATCATGAAGCGCGTGCTACAATAATAGATGGTAAAATAGGGATGGGTTTTGCTAGTTTCTAGCATACATGGAATTTTAGCTCCCCCTTGTTGCACGGGTGCTCGATATCCGTATCTTCACAACAAGCCTTTAACATCTTCGAATTCCACAACGCTCCCAGTAGACTGCAAAAGGCAACCCACTTCCCGAGCGTAGCTCGGCCAATGCCATTGATCAGTCCTGTCCGTGCAAATTTATGATTAGAATTTAACTCCAGCCGCTGTGACGCACCGAAGCAACATAAACATTCAAAAACTTTGAGATGAGTCTCGGCGGTTGTCTCAGGTGGGTGACATCAAGGACGTGTGATGATTGGCTGGTCGTGTTGGAGAAATTCTGCATCATCGTCGGATGGTATTGCTCTCAAACCTCATGAAGCACCCATGACTATTGCGTCACCCCAATATTATTAGTAGTACTGCTGCGAATCCACACCGAGCTAGTAATGGGCTGAAACGAATTGTCTGTGCAATGGGCACGGGTCATATTCAAGGGTCCTGCATCAGCATCAGCATACGGTGTCAATTGACGCCTCAGCCGATGGTGCCGGTTGCAAGCGTTTGTTAGTTCCCCTTTGTACGTATCACAAGCGATGAATGACATTGATTTCCCGAAGGATTTTTCCGCATGTTACACCTGGAAAGGCCTGTTGATTTATGGTTAGTACAAATTTATCGAGCTGTGCGACATGTTGTACGGAAACGCATCTGGGCCACATCTGTCCGTGTCTCGCGTTAGCTATCCGCAGAAGTTCAACTATGCCATTGCGAATACTTGTGCTTACAATGCCTGCTTCCATAATAAGAAATACCAAAAGCATGGGCCGTGGCTGAATGCAAGTTGTTTCGGACACGGGGGTTTGGCAACAACAGGACGCCATTCCTGCTGATCACTCCGCATTGCTCCAACAACTCGTGGCGCCTTATCGATTTCCTGTGCTCGCGAGATTGCAGGCGTGGTTGCCATCACCATGGTCCATGGTCAATAATAACCACTCGGCCCACAACCCTTGTGGCTTCGCTCTGCGGTTCCTCAGCAGCCTTCTTCTCACCGCTAGAGTGAACTCACTCTTGGCTCGAAAGGTGTTCTGGTCGAGCTGGGAAGTTTCACGGTGGCGCTACGGCCCTGCAGTGCCGAGCGCAGAGTGTGACTCGTGGGTAATGCCACCGCAAGCTTCGAAACGAGCCATCCACACACCCACCAACAGAGCAATCTGCATCGAGCTGCGGAGTAGGCGAAGATCAAATGCACTTCCACATATCAGTTCCGTCACTGGTCGACTTGGAGGTGCGTCCCCCTCGTGGAGTTGTTGGACAGTGTTGCACTTCGACGTGGTATTCCTCGTACGCGCTTAAGCCGCGAAGCAATCACCTTGAGGATGCGGGGTAAGAGTTGGTTCGCTTCGAGAACATCCCTGATCTTCCAGATGTCATATGAGACGAAGCCAGCACTTGCCAGGGTCTTTTCATATTGCTAAAGATGAACCGAATGCTCCGTAGGAAACCAGATAAAACAAAAGCCATGACATGACTGGACGTAGGGGGCGGTGTTGGTGAGCACGGCTAGATTGAGGTACCGAGTGGTACAAGGGCGGCGCATGGTTTCGTTCCGCTGCCAACCTCCAACACCCTCCTCACCAAACTGGAAAATCAGCGTCAATCAGTCTATTATCTTGAGTTGGCGACGGTTTATTTGACTAGATATAGATGGCGCTGAATACATGGGCATGTACTCCGTAGTGCAGCTCTGGATTCTGGAGATTGAAACGAGGGATGGATCAAAAAGGTCGCATTGCATGCATGCATGCATGCATGCAGATCCTGTACATAGACGAGCTGCCTCGGTTGCTCCTGCAGCACACAGGACCGACAGAAAGTTATAGGGTCAAGTTCAAATTGGCCGAGATGGTGGCCAGTATGCTTTCCGGTCCACGAGGGGGTTTGTCGTCATAATACATGTGGCATCATCGCACGGCAGCATTCGTGCACCGTTAATGGACGTAAATGGCAGCCCACGTTCCGACAGCTCGTGTTTGCTTTGTACAAATGTATGTACAATGACAGTCGCCTCATTCAGCGCCAAGTGCGGGCTTTGGCGCCAACCTTTTCGCCTGTCTCGGCCATTTTGAGATGGTAGTCACGATGGACAATCTGCTGGACGGGTGGCGCGATGGCTTGCAGCCGGAAGCACTGCGTCATAACCCGTGGGGATAGGTGTAAGGGAGGACACCCGTGGGCAGTAGGCCATGACTAGTAGGTGGATGGAGGAATAATCATTGATTCAGCTCTTCTTGTCCCAGACACCATGCGCCTGCAAGCGCAAATGGGTTGGTGCCCTTCCCTTTGCGGCGTCTTTTTTCACGCTGTATTACCATACTGTCAATCTTGCAACGTGCAGATCGGCGCCACCTCACTCGAGATGGGCATTCCAGCAAACTCGTCAGCCATCAGAGAGAGATATTGTATTTGTCTGGTACGTGGTGCTATTCTGGGTAGGGTGGAATCATGAGCATCAGGCCATGCCCTGTGTTGTTTCAAATGGCGCCTTGTTTTTGTTTTTCTCTCCTTAATTTGTCGGATATCCCTCATACAATTTGGTTGTCCTGCTAGTATATTTTCCATCCACTAGCGCCTACTGAAAGGAGTAAGCCTAGATTTATGGCGTCGAAAAGCGTGTCTGTCGGCGGGCTTGTTTCTGCGACATGGTTACTAAATGGCTCAATGGCTCAATGCCAGCATCATCAGGACGCCTTATTGTCAGAAACAAAGAGGCACGCCAATCCCTACCACCACCGGTTCTCAACTGCCTGTAGTACTAATAATTTCTGGACCGGATACTCCGTACTTGCCTTGGTCCTTTAGGTGGGACAGCACAGTGCGCCCTTGCCATGTACGCTGTCGCCTTGCTACCAAAGCCGCCCAAGGCCTCAATGCTTGACCCTGCAAGTCACCATGGTCACTGTGACAACTTGGCGACACCCAAAATACGTAAATAGTGACATATCATCGCATTACAGAGTCGCAGCGCCTCTGCTCTCCTCCTCCAATTCACCTGGGCTCGGAATCTAATGCATTGCGACTCCCTCTAGGCGCGAACTGGCTTCGGCATGCCGTTGCCACCCGCCGTGAGACTCTTGCGGCGAGCCATCTTCAAAGTGCACCAGGTAGGTATGATCGTATATCGGGAGCTTTTTCGTCTTCCACCACATCCCTCCCCTGGAACTCTCGTAGACTAACAGTCAGTAAAAGCCGGCGCGGCGCACAAATGCCCTCAGCGCCTTGAATAACACCACGTGCCAGGACCATGGCGACGAGAGTTGTCGCCGCCTTTTCCAGATTCAGCTTTTCGGATCCCAGCTTAACACGGGATACATGACAGAGGGATATACTACATCACCAAAGGCCAATGTGTCGGCGGAGCAGCGACATTCGTTGGGAAGTTTAGCTAAGCACCGTCAAGTATCCAAACCGGATCCATATTGCCCTCATAACGAGAAGACATGTCTCCAGGAACACGACAGAGGCTAGGATCTACCAGCGGATCGTAAATAATGCCCATATTAGCTCATTAATTGACTACGACGCGAACCCCCACAGCCTAGTCCTAGAATCTCCCCAGAATAGCGACTTTGGATCTTATATCAGACGACATGCGAACAGCGTCACGGCTAAACAAAGAACAGAACCGCGCATTACAAGCAGTGGAGGTACTTGCTGTAGTGAGCTAAAGTAATTCATTGTGATGTTTCACCTCGTAACTTGATGCTAAATGGAACGCTCAAGCTCCGCGCACCCGATATTGCGGATGAG